ATGTTATTTATGTAGTGAGAGCCTACTTCGAATTAAGTCACTTATATATATTTATTTATTTATTTATTTATTTATTTATTTATTGAGAATTTTAAAGTGGAGCTTTAATTTCATGGCGCCCATGTTGAATTGAAAACATGTAATCGTATTTATTCATCATCAAATCACTACTTCATAGTGGATTATTGGTGGCTTATTATTTCAGTTTTAGAGTTTCTCAAACTGAAGTTTTCCTTGTCTGTTTTTGGGGTTTAGAGCTTTAAAACAATGTTAGGAATAGAATTTTCTTGAGTTATTTTAACATGTAAGTGAGGTTTATAAACAACCTAATTAACAATATTAGGGCCTAAACTAACATTAGCCCAAAAGGCCTAATAGCTAAATACAATAAGGCTCAACAGTCTGCTTTACATTTATTTGGTTTGTCAAAGTTTGTTACTGTATAACTCAGGTGCACCTAATTAAGTTAGTTATTTTTTGCTTTTGATGATTAAATGGGGATTAATATTATTTCTCATTTAATCATCAAATGAGCAATAATTATTCTAAGTATCTCTTACACACAGGTTATAACATTTTCATTTTCCTTAATTGTGTCACTAAGTAATTTTTAATTTGTGGCTAATGATTTTAGCATTCTTTTGATTCCTATCTTCTTATTCCTTAAAATTCTAGCAGGCAACACATTATTAAGAGGGTCGCGTACATTCATCAATTATCAATAGTTCAAAAGAAGTATTTGTGGAAGAAATAGAATTGAAATGGAATAGCATGGCAAAATTCACACAAAGTTTTTGAAAAATACGGTCTATTGTTAAATTCTACCTCTATACCATGTTTTATACTTTTATTATGTAAATTCTGATAAACAAGAGCATTCTCATTCAATAAATATATAGTATATAATGATATAAACCTAGATAATTGTATGTGTACACTTATGAGAATAAATTTTTGACTTTACATACATAATTACACAAATTATCCTTACATAATAGTAGTTTTAGAATATTGACCTATTCACTATTATTCATGAATGTATTGATACGAAAACTTCTTTTTAGGCTATCTAAATTATTGAACAACTATTGGTTTCCATAATATGTTTCTATCTATTTTTGCTTTGCACATTTTTTCACTCGCCAAATCTATATGCCTCTCTGAGTTACTAAGATATTAGAACGAGTTAACTTGATAGTTAATGCTTTAATTGTGACCATAAACATGTTTTACATTATGGTTAGCTTATCAGTTGGTTAATTAATTAGGGGGTTGGATTAAATCCAAAAAAACTAAAATAGAATCCTTATACATGCTCTAGAAAATAATCTAGCCCATTTATTACAACATTTATAAGGTCGGTTTAAGATATTATTCATATGTTGAATATAATTAAGGCCAAACATGAGAAATTTTTGTTACATAAGGTCACGGACAACTGGTCAATTATATATGAATATTAGATGGAAGCCCGTGCGATGCACGGTTTTTTATACATAAATCTCATGAAAAGATTATTTTCTTAATTAAACCCTATAATTTTTTTATTATTTTGCTTGTTAGAAAACGGATAATTTGTTTTATTTTTATGCAACATATAATGCGATCTTAATTTACTAATATTAGTTATATGAAAATTATAAGTATAATAGATATTAGAATAAAATCATACACATATCTCAAGAAAAGATATTTCCCTATATACTTTATGTTTTTTTTTTTGTATAACTATTTCATTTATTTTACAATTTAATAATTTCAGACAAAAAAAAGCAAATAATAATTTAATTAAAATGATATTGTCAATTACAAAAGTATAATTTTTCTCAATGTAATTTATAATGCGACTTAATTTATTGTTATTTTGTATTTTATTCGTTGTTGTTAGTTATATGACAATAATATGATATCTTTCAAAAAAAAAAAAAGTTTGTAAATAGGATATTTCATTGGTTACATATTAGGATAAAATCTTTAATGTGAAAAGATAATAATTTTTTATTTTTAAAATAATGTAAATCCTAAATCATTATTCATTGCTTTTTACACTTGAAATTAAACTCTCAAATCTACATGTCATTTTGTATATTTCTTGTGATCTCTTGATCACTAACAAATTATCTGTCTTTTCAAATTTTTAGACATAAAATGTTTAAAGAAGGTAAAGTTTTTTTATTGCATTATAAGTTTTAAATTTTTTTTTATGAAAATAAAACATCTTAATAATCGGGTATTTAGATAAAACCATTAATTTCATAAGATAATTTTTTTTTAATAATTTAAATCCTAATATCCCACGGTGTTTTATACATAAAATCTCATAACAATAATTTTTGTAATTAGATCATACTCATAATATTTTTTTATTACTTTGCTATTGTTTGTTATGGATAATTTTTTTTATTAATTTTATGTAATTTAAAAATTTGTAAGTGAATAATTGTTGTGAAATTAATCTAAAAATTGTAATTATACAAAATTAAATCTATGCATTGGAATTTTTTTCATCGTCCCCAATTGCCCAAACAATAGTATTTTGGAAAATTGAATCATTATTTTGTTGTCGCTGACAATGCGTGCAATATTATTTCTTATTTGTAACGACTGAAAAGTATCTAATGGAGTAAACTTTTCCTTCAATCAATTTTGAACAAAATTGTAGAACAAAGTTGACTTTAATTGAGGTATGAACGTAATCACCCTGTAATTAAAAATAAAAAATTAAGTTAATTTTATGACTTAATTAAGCTACCTAAATCACAAAAAATTTGTTTTCATCATAAAATTAATTGATAAAAACTAAAAGGTTCATTAAAAGATTTAATAAATGTAAATGATTTATAAAGATATAATACCTCCTCATTCAATAGGATCATCAAGCGAGAAACTCGTACTTTGATATTCCAAAGATTTTTGCTCGAATATAATTCTCTGATTAAATTAGTTCTGCATGTAAAACAAAATTCAGTAAAAAAAACATAAACATATAATCATTAAGTATCCCAAATAAACACAATTTAACCATTATCCATCCATTAATGACCTTATAAAACTGACACAAAATTTGCTTGGTTTGGTTTTGTATTGATACAAAATTTTGTTAGTGTCATATGATGCATCAATTTATAATGGTAAATATAACAAATTTTAATTTAATTATAATTAAGGAATACTTTTTATTTCTTATCATAAACACTATTAAAATTTATCTTATAATAGTAGGTATATAAATCCTATATCTAAAGATGATTGTTTTAAAAGATAATATTTATTTTTTTAAAATAAATTAAATCCTAATAAATCAATATTCGTTGTTTTTACTTACGTGGCAAAATTCTTTAATCTTATTCGTCACTTTTGTTTAGGTGGCAAACAAATTTTTTAATTTCAAAATAAAATAGAAATCTAATTTTTAATTGGTTGAAAATATAGCTTTGCTTATGTGGCACACCGAATGCTCTTGAAAAATGCCTACTTTATTTATATATATATAAGATTAGATTTTACAAAAAAAAAAAAAAAAAAAAAATATTCATAATAATCAAGAAATTGCATTCTCTATTTCTTGATCTTGATAACCATTAACAAACTTAAGTAATTGAAGTAACTAATCAACTGTCGCAAGTCAATATCAACCGACATTGCCCTTTAAATCCAAGAATCCTCTGTTTTTTCTACAAAATCATCCCTTGATTATTAAATCATCAAAAAAACAACCTTAGTCATCTCTTCAATCCCAAATCATCTGTTTGTTTAAATAATCAGTAATGGCTGCTTCTGGTTCACAAGACATAGTTGCAGAAGAGTGTACGAGAAGACAATATGTAAGGTGTTTCGGGGTTTTCTGTGTCCCTCGGGAGAGTTACTACACCAAGACTGGATTTTGGACACTTGTACCTGTAAAACAACAGAGACTCCGTTTGGGATCCGGCTATCTCAGACAGCCTCGAAATCCGAGCAATTAAAGCTGGAGTTATGCTCAACAATTAATGTACACGTGTGTTTTTTAATTTCTGAATGTCGTTCCTCAGGGGGAACATCTCCCTTTTATAGGGTCTTGCAATGTGTGCCAGTCTTAGGTTAATGGAAAACCTGGCCTAGGCTTGATTGGGCTTTCTTGGTGTATGGGCCTTGGAAGGCTGCTCGTCCAAGTTGGCACTCTGTTTGCCACATGTCATGCTCTGATTTGTCCACTTTGGACTCTTCACATAGTGACACGTGGTAGACTGTGGTTGGTCCACGTGGATGACATGCGGCAGGGTTTCATTGGTCCATATGGCGGGGTTAAATCCCCAAATCATAAGGTACGAAGAAATGATAGGAACGAAAAAAGTTTTTAAGGGGTTTGATAAGGTTGATGGTAAAGAAATTGCTTGGTCTAAGACAGAGCTGACATGAATTATACCGTGAAATAGTTCTGAATAAGTTTAATGAAGCTTCTCTGTTGCAATCGTTAGACCATGAGAATATACTGAAAATGCTATGATTATTGGATTGATCCTTTCACTGGAATCCTTCACATGATTACCGAGGTTTTTACTTCCGGGGATTTGAGAGTGTACACCAACAAACATAATCTTGTAGGTAACACCGCGATCAAGAATTGGTCTAGAGAGATTCCAAGTGCATTGAATTATCTTCACAATCGTAGTGTACCGATAATTCATCGTGATGTGAATATTTCGAACATCTTTATTAATGGAAACTTGGGCACGGTTAAGCTAGGAGATTTTGGTATCGCGTGTAAATTCGAACCAGACAGAAGGCTAGCTCGTGTTGGTACGCCAAAAACTATGGCACCGGATGTTTTTGAAGCGGATTATAATGAGTAGATTGATATATTTAGGGCTGGAAAAAGCTGACCCGACCCGACAACCCGACCCGAACCCAACCCAAAATAAATGGGTTTTGATAGAGATTTTCAACCCGTTTATGTAATTGGGTCAACCCGAACCCGACCTGAAGTTAAATGGGTCGGGTTCAGGTAGAAAATCCCAACCCGCATAAACCCGTTTATTTAATTGGGTCGGTTTCAGGTCGGGTCAACCCGAACCCAACCCGCTTAACTTAAAACCCTAATTTTAAAATATGGGCCAAGCCCAAATTATCTAACCCTAATTCCCTAAAGACCTAAAGTCCTAAACGGCTAAAACAATCCCCTCTTTCTCTCGCCGCTTTCTTTCACTCAAACTCTCTCTCTTCTCAGTTTCTCTCTCTTCTCTCCTCTCTTTTCTCTCTCTAACTCTTGAAGATTGAAATAAAAATGCTTGAACCTTGAAGATTGAAGCTTCATCTCAAACATTCTGAAGGTAATAATCCTATTATTCGATTTTTTATGAGTTTGTTTGCTCATGAGTCATTTGTTTATGCAATTTCCTTGATTTGGTTATGCAATTTTCAGATTTCTTTGATTTTTTAATGCGATTTTTTGCTATTATGGTTTATGTATGCTTTGTTTATGTGATTTAATCATTTAATGTTGTTCGTTTGTTATTTTCTTACTCTACAATTTCTTTCGAACATTTGATTTGTTATTTACTTATTTTGCGATTATTTGCGATTTGTTTATGCGATTTTTTGCCCTGATTTGATTTTCTTACTCTGCAATTTCATGAGTTTGATTCTTTATGTCATGACTCATGAGTTTATACTTCTGTTTTTCATGTTTTATCTTTTATGCCATGAGTGTAATTCTTTTTTTAATTTATTCACAGATGGCTAATAGCCCTAATCCTGATGAACCCATTGATCTTCCGGATTCTGATTCAGATGATGAAGTCTCTGATTCTCATCAAACGGAATCAAAGAAGAAAACCTCTAATGTCACCTCGCTGAATAAGCCTGGAATTCATTTCAAGCGCCAACGAAAGCTCACTTCAGATGTGTGGGCAAATTTTGAATTCCTTGATAAACCTGACGAACAAGGTAACATCATTTGCAAGTGTAAAAAATGTGGGCAGAAATATAATGCTGAAAGTAGGCAAGGAACTGGTAATTTAAAACGCCACATTAAGAAATGTAAAAAAAGGACCTTTAAAGATGTGGGTCAGATGATTATTGATTCAAGCAGTTCTGGTTCTATGATGAATAGGGTTCCTACAATTGATTATGATATTGTTCGTGAGATGTTGTCTATTGATGTGGTGAAACATGATTTGCCTTTTCAGTTTGCTTAATATAGTGCTGTTAGGAAGTTGATTAATTACATAAATCCTGATGTTAAACTTGTGTCTCGAAATACTTTGAAGGCTGATGTTCTGAAAATGTTTAAGAGGGAAAAAGATAAACTTAAGGAGGAGTTGAGTGTAGTTAAGGGTAGGATTTCTCTTACATCTGATTGTTGGACTTCAATTACTACTGATGGTTACATGTCTTTGACTGCCCATTTTGTTGATAATCAATGGAATTTGCAAAAAAATTATGAACTTTCGTTTTTTGCCTCCACCTCACACCGGTGTCCATATGTCTGACCATGTCTATGATTTGCTTAAAGAGTGGGGTATCCAAAAGAAAATCATGTGTATTACTCTTGATAATGCTTCCTCTAATGATGTGTTTGCTGATGTAATTAAAAATGAACTTGATTTGGTATGTGGGGGGGGGGGATTATTTCCATGTGAGGTGTTGTGCACATATCCTAAATTTAATTGTGCAAGATGGGTTAAAAGAAATTAATGAGGTTGTTGTTAAGGTGAGAGAAACTATGAAGTATTGTAAAGGGTCTCAGGCTAGAAAGCAACGTTTTTTGACTTGTGTGGCACATGTTGAACTAGACTCAAGTAGAGAATTGAGACAAGATGTCCCTACTAGATGGAATTCAACTTATTTGATGTTAGAGAATGTTTTGTACTACAAAAAAGCTTTTCTTCATTTTCAAAAGGTTGATGCCAATTACATTCATTGTCCAACAAATGAGGAGTGGGGGAGAATAGAGAAGTTATTCAGATTTTTGAAGGTCTTTTTTTATGTGACAAATGTTTTTTCGGGTACTAATTATCCTACCGCTAATGTATACTTCCCAAATGTGTTGAAAATCCGTTTACTCTTGAAAGAGGAGCTTGAAAATTCTAATAACTTCATGCATAAGATGGCAGCAAGAATGAATGAGAAATTTGCTAAATATTGGACCAACTTTAGCATAATCATGGCTGTGGCTGTTGTTTTAGACCCTCGATTTAAGTATGAGTTTGTGGAGTGGGCTTTTAAGAAGGTGTATGGGGAAATAGAGGGTACTAATGAGTTGGTGAAGTTTAAGGAAAGGTTGGATTATTTATATGGTGCTTATGTGACTGAGGCTTCCACAACAACACCACGAACAAGGCGTCGTTCTTCTAGACAGCCTAATGAAGAGCAAGTTGATGTTGCTTCTGATTCTTTTATGATGGTAACTGTGAACATTTGCTTTTTGTTTGATAATTAGCTTTAAATTCTGTTTTTTGTATGCTTTATTGTAATTTTTGTTTAAACATCTTTTAGGACTTTGATAACTTCTCTTCTAGCAAATCATATGTTCCTGCTAAATCTGACTTGCAAATCTACTTGGAAGAGCCATTGATTCCTCGTGCAACCAACATTAATATTCTATATCATTGGAAAACAAATGTTGTGAGGTATCCAATTCTTTCAAAGATGGCAAGGGACATCCTTGAAATCCCTATTTCAACAGTAGCTTCAGAATCTGCCTTCAGTACTGGTGGTCGAGTTTTGGACTGCTATAGAAGCTCTTTGAAACCACACACAACAGAAGCTATCATTTGCCTCAAAGATTGGACTTTTGGTGAAGGTATGAAAATAATTTATGTATTTAAAATTACAATTTTTTTTGTTTCTTTTGTGTACTATTTTATTTATGCTTAAGGCTGAAATTAACTTTTGTATGTATTCTTTTGGTTGTAGCTAATATGGATCCGCAATTGCAAGATTTATGTGGAAAAATCATGGCCATGAAAGTCAACGATGATGTGGGGGATACTCCTAGTCCCAGCCCTCCACAAAGTGCACCAGAAAGTCCTGCTGTCATGGAGAGTCAAACCTGATTATGTTGTTAATTTCTTCTAAAATTAGTTGATGAAACTGTTACTGTTATTTTGGACATGTATTTGGTTTTCTAGTTGAACTTTTATTTGCCTACTTGGAAGTATTTTGGACATGTAACTCTTGGAAATATTTTGGACTTGTTGGCTGGCTACTTTTCAAGTTTTAGTTGCTGTTGTGAGTGTATGAAACTATGAAGTATGGACAATGCACTAATGCAGCAGGATTTTCTTGAATTATGTTGTTAAGTTATGTTTGCTTGAATTATGTGTTGAATTTGAAGTCTTGAATACTTGAATCTTACAGGTTAAAGAAATTAGTCAAATTACAGGTTAAAAAAATTACAGTATAAAGAAATTAGTAAATTACAGGCTTTTATTTTATTTTTTTTAATTAAAAAAAAAATCAGGTTTAGGCGGGTCGGGTTCAGGTCGACCCGTTTATAATCAGGTCGGGTTCAGGTTGATTTTTTTGACCTTTTTAAGTAAACAGGTCGGGTTCAGGTTGGGGGGTCCTGACCCGTTTATGTAAACAGGTCGACCTGAACCCGACCCGACCCGACCTGTTTGCCAGCCCTAGATATATTCTCGTTTGGGATGACTTTAGTACAGACAGTGACTAAGGAAAAGTTGTATAGCGAATGCTACAACAAGAATCAGATTTATCGAATGATTAAGAAGGGTGAAATGCCTGCTGCGCTAAACAATGTGGTAGACTATGAGGTTAGCATTAAAAGATGCTATTTTGGGATTTACTTGGATTATGCATTTTTGAATACAGTATACTAAAGATTTAAACGTACAACTTTTAAGTTTTTTTTTTTAAAATTTCCAATACTTGTTTTGTTGTTTTTCGTTTAAGGTTGGATATTTTTGAAGAAATATGACAAACATAGCGGTGAAATATAATAAGCTGAAAAAGGGAGATATTCATTATAAATAAACATGAATTACTGCGTATATTTGTTTTTTCATTATAGTTGTATTTTGTCCATGTAATAATTAACCTAGTATGATTTTAACAGTGAACATGTATGAATCAAAAGAGTGATTATAATTGTTGCTGAAAGATTATATATGAGGCTAATGAGTAACTGCATGTATAACTTTGTATGAAATGTCGTTACATTTGTAGCAGATGTGACAACAGGGAAAGTATAAACTAGAACTTAAACTTAGGATTAAGCACATTAAGAACTTTGCAAATTAGTCCAAATTGAAATTTTAGTCCATAATTACGTATTATAAACGGGTAAACAGTCATTTTAAATAAAAATATACAATTTCTTTTAAACAAAATTGGGCAAAGAAATTTATTAATTTGAAAATCAAGAAATAGTATTTTCGGTTTCTTGATTACCGACTTCATCCCAATTGTTATAAATAGATATAAAACCATACTTCTCATTTTTATTGTTACATTCCACCATACTTTTTTCAATAAAAATAAACTCCAACGTTACTCACTTGAATACAAATCAAACTTGTTTAATTTCAGTTTCTTTTTTCTTCTAGTTCTATCTCTATTTGAGTTCATCAGTTATGGCTTCAAGTTCACAGGAAGGTAACATCGATTTCGAGACATCTTCGAGTGGGCGGTACATACGGTACAATGAGATAATTGGAAAAGGTACTACGAAAAAAGTCTACAAGGGCTTGGATAGGGCACTTGGTATGGAAATTGCTTGGTGTAAAACAGAACTAACAGAGGATATGTTAAATAACATGGAATTTCTTGAGCTTTTACTGACAGAAGGTGGTCTTTTGATGTTATTAGATCATGAAAATATAGTTAAATGCTACGATTCTTGGGTTGATGAAGAAGCGAAAACCATTCACATGATTACTGAGTATTTTCCTTCAGGAAATTTGGTGCAGTATCTCAGGAATAATCACACGCTTGAAGGTAATGCTGCAATCAAGAATTGGTGCAGACAGATTCTGAATGGGATTGCTTATCTTCACAGTCAAACTCCGCCAATTGTTCACCGTGACATTAAGGCCGAAAACATCTTTATCAATGGGAAGACAGGATGTGTTAAACTTGCAGATTTTGGTTTCGCGCTTAGTCTTGAACAGGGGACATGTAGTCAGAAATATGGCACACCGCGTTACATGGCACCAGAGATTCGTGAAGGAAATGGTTATAATCAGTTGGCTGACATACACTCTTTCGGAATGTGCGTACTAGAGATGTTCACTGGTGAACCTCCATACAGCAACTGCAGTACACAAAGCGGGTTTTTAGCGTTGGTTGAGGCCGGTGTTGAGCCTCCAGAACTATGCAAAGTGGAAGGTGATGATGCTTATCAGTTCATTAGTAAGTGTCTGGCTCCTGCATCTGAAAGACCCTCAGCAATTGAACTCTTGAATGACCCGTTTCTTGCACCGAGTTTCCGGAGCATCCTAACAGCAAGATTTCTGAGTCTGGTACGCTTTGTACACAGGGTTTGTTCTTGCCTATCCTGAAAGTGCTCCGTACCACGATACCACTGTGTGATATTCTACTCTATTACTTGTTATTAGTCAGTTCTTTTATTTTTTATTTTATTCATTTTAAGTCAATTTGAGTATAGATAAATGCATATATATGGTGCTTTTGTAGTTTCGAGTCAAATTTCTTGTGTATAATGTCACTCTTCGTCTAATTCTGTTCACTATTGCATTGTACTAGGATGTGTAAAAAATGGACTTAGTGTAATCAAACTTGCAATTTTTCAATAAATATAAATGCGAATAGTAGTATTATAATAATTCTGTTTTATTTTTTTTGGATTCAATCCCACCCCCCAAATAGATTAACCAACTAATAAGCTAACCATAATGCAATATATGTTTTAAATCTGCAATTTAAGCAATAACAATCAAATTAACTTGTTCTAATATTGTTGTGACTCGAGGCATATAGATTTGGCAAGCAAAAAAAATGTGCAAAACAAGAACATAATTAAAAACATATTATGGAATTGAAACCAATAGTTGTTTATGTATCCAAAAAGAATAAGTTTTAATTACTCATCATCATTTCAAGCATGGTAGGGAAATGCTCAATATTCATTCTCAAATTATTTATTAAGGTTTTTTTTTTTTTTTTTTTTTGTGTAATTATGTGTGTAAAGTCAAATATTCTCATACGTGTACAAATTGAATTATCTAGGTTATAAATATGTACATATATTGATTGAGTGAGAATACTCTAGCTGAGTAAAATTAGACAATACAACATGGACGGAGACAACGAACCCTCATATTGTATTTTTTACTAGAATTTTAGGCAACAGAATGATGCAAACTATAAAATAGTGCTAATATAACAGTCATTATCCAGAAATTAACAATTATTAAATTAATGAAACAATTTAGGAATTGAAGGAACCAAATATGAACCAAACAATTTAGCAAAGCTCCCACTTGAAAACACTCTCACTAGCTATATCCTATCTAGTATTTATATGTGATTGTGATTCATTATTTTAATGAGGCTCTTACTACATAAGTTCATCATACCCTAACAAAATGTACAGTATGATGAATTTTCATAGTTTTGGCTCATCCCCACTTCAACAATTTCCCCCGATAGAGTCACAGTGGCAGATCCATGTCGAGTCCAATAAGGTACATTCAACCTAGTGTAGACACCTACTTTTGGCCTCCTGTCCCACGGGAAGTGCGATGATGTTACAAAAACTTGTTATTCATGCTAGATCAAAGTTGAAGTGTTTACGGACTCCGAAATGCATTATGAAGTAAGTTAGAATTTGTATTTCAAACCAAATTATCTTAGATCGTAGTCCAATTTCTAATTAGGCCTAAAACGTGCTCATACATGTTTAATCTTGATTATTAACAGACCTAAATGCGTCATATGCAATAATTGGATCAAATAGATCTTACATTGTTGAAAACTGAGCCAACCAGAGTATTTAGCCACCCAATATCCGTTCAAGGCTTGTACAGTTGGATATCCTTTTTAAAGAGCTTTCCAACGGTATATTATAAGCCCAATTCCGAGTTAAAACGAAGAAGTTATCATCAAAATACTAAAATGGACCCTAAAACCGACACCCTTGCACTCAACATCCATATCTTTTGATCCATAACAAATTTTAACCTAATTCTAACGACATTGGAAAGTAGACATTCAGAGCTTACCAATGAAATCTTATTTGCCTTAATCCAACTTCGCAATCAAAAGTTATGAAAGTTTAAAAAACGTGTATTTGTATAAGGCAAACCGCACTACGCGCAACTCCCAAAGTTGCGTGCGCCTGCCGCACGCAAGTCAAAGAGTTGCGCGCGCCACCTGAAGCCACGGCTCTAAAACCCTAAACGTAGATTCCTACGCCTATAAATAGGGGTCTTCGTTAGCCCTCACACAATAGAAAATCTAAACTCAAACCCTAGCATTGTGAATAGAGCTGTCAAAAGCTAACCAAACCCGAAATACCGACCCGAACACGATTATTTACAGACCCGTCTTCACCTGGAAAAATGATGACCCAAACCCGATATGACCCAACTTGAATTCAACCCTAGACCTGAGTTAACCCGAGTATTTGAGACCCGAACCCGAAAATGAACCGACCTAGAGATGACCCGACTCGAATATAACCTGTAAAACATTGACTTGAACCGAACCCGACCTAAACCGAAATTGACCTAAACCCGTTTTAACCCGTCAAAACCGAATTTAACCCGACATGTTACTAACCAGACATGAATTCAACCCGACCTATTCATAACCCGACCAGAATTTAACCCGAACCTAATTTAATCCAAACCGAATTTAACCCGACCTATTACTAACATGACCCGAAATTCAACCCTATCTGTCACTAACCTGACCCGAAATCAACCCGACTTGTTATTGACCAGACCCAAATTAAACCCAACTTATTATTAACCTAACCTGAAATCAACTCGACTTGTTATTTTATACATCTTTATTATTGTAGATCAGATACTGAATGAAGATATATACTATATATATTCTAAGCTACTCGTTATGTCAAAACTTCGTAAGAAAAACTATTCTATGTTAATATTGATCAAAGTATTTTGTCTTGGATGTAGGGAGACAATGTCGATCCAGCAAAAGAAAGAAGCATCATCGCCAAATTTAGGTGTTAATTATAATATATATTTGTTGTACATATATATACCAAGTCTCATATCTAAACCTTAGTGTACATGTACATATATGCATCTCTTTAATTTAGTATAAACACTCCACATACGCATCAAAATCAATTAAGAAGAATTATTTATTTGTTTTAGATTCAAGTACTTTTTTGGTAAATAGGGAATATTATTACCAAAAGGAGCTGTAAAGCAGCAAAACAGGAAAACAAATAGCCCAAAGGCCTAAACTCCAATACACCGAAAGCCCTTAAGGGCACACAACCACCAGCCAAGGACAAAAACCCAAAGGTCACCTTCTAGGAAGGGTTCCAAAGAATCTTGAACCAAACAAGGCCCTTCTAAACTCAATGAGAAAGAGCTACCCTCTAGGAGGATTAACCAAAATCAAAGGAATAGGACAACAACTAGCACAAGAGCTTACAAAGAAAATGGCCAACAAATTAGGATAGAAAAAGACAAAGCCCAAAACACCAACACCTATGAGCTGCCAATAAAACCAGAACAGAAACAAGCGAGGCAGCATCAAGCGCCAAATATAGCATAGATAACGGCAGTAGCCAAAACAGAACAACAACAGCAAGGCATAAGGCAGAACAGTCAAACACCAAAACACAGCAAGCAGTTCAATGTAGCAGCAACTAGAGACAGACAAGCTACAGCAGCCTAAGAAGCCCTCTTTAACCCTGTAGCAGCACTAAACAGCAAAGACAGAAGCCACATCAACAGCTGGCAGAAGCAGCACCAGCAACCAGAAACCTAGCAGCCTGAACTAGTAGAGAACCAGCCACTTCCTAGCAGGACTTACAACAACACAAGACATCAGCCAACCGCCCCATAGATAGCAAAACAGAGGCCAACAAGAAGCTACAACAGACCAGGACACTAAGCCAACATAGCAGAAGCCAGCAGCCCAGCTACAGCAACAAACAACAACAAAAAACAGCAACGTCAGGCAAAAGATAGCACCAGCAAAAGCAACAGCTGGTAGCAGAAAACAATGTAGCAGCAGTCTAGCCATTAGCAGAGCACCAACTGGCAGAGCAGACTACAGAACCATTACAGATGGCTGGCATCAAAGCAATAGAAAATATACAACAAAGAAGCAATAGGCCACCAACCCACCAAGAACCAGCATCACTTCCTAGCAGGACATCCAACAACAAGAGACAACAGCCAGCAGCCCCACAAACAGGAAGACAGAAGCCAGCAAGCAGCTACAGCAGATCAGGCCATCCCGCGAGCAGATTAAGAAGCCAGCAAATCAGCTACATCAGCAACCAGCAACACATCACAACAATAGCAAGGCAGAAGAAAAAAATATGTGTACTTGATAATTATAGTTCAGCAACAATGAAGCATTCCAATAATAAAAGAAGACTGCAATATATACACATCACATCTTTATCACAAGCCTTAAAATATAGCCCTTTTGGCTTGACTACATGGAAACCTCTTATACTTTCCTATACCCTCAAGGCCTCAATAGTAACTACAACAACAGCTGCCATCAATACATTTACAAAACCTAATTAGCTATTTTTTGAGTTGAAAGCCTAGTAACAGGCACAAAACTCCTAGTTGGGAAATTTATTGCTTCTCTAAATCACAACCATGTTAATCCAATTTTGATTCCAATTGCTGTCATTTTCCAGCAAGCCATTCCTCTACAAGAAACTACAATTTATGAAGATGTCTTCTCTCCTGAAACGAACACATGCCTTAAATTAGGCACCAAAATCTATATATAAAAAAACAATGTATGAGAACGTGTATAATTCCAGCTTGATGTTTAGGATCTACACTATAAGATTTATTGTGCCTTTAATGATCTGGTTTGAATTATTGAGCTTTTTCCACCGGTATCATCACATTTCCATGAAAGTCTCAGTAACAAAAAGATTATTTCTCAACCTATACTTCGATTGAGATTGTTTTACACCATTGTGCACAGAATTGAGAGCTGATGTAATGATCTTTAAGTCTCAGCTGAGTCAGCTCCCTCATATTCAATCATTTTTACCAGATAAAGGACTTCCAAATGTACTTTGTTGAAGGTTTGTTTTTAAAAAAACCAATTAGTTGAAAGAAGAAACTGCGAATCAGTTCCTAACATCAGTAATCAAACCAAATGGACCAAGCATAGTAAAGCAAAATATTGAACCGCAAGACACGTATATTTTTTAAGAAAGTGCAGGAATCATTTTACGAGTGGTTTCATATTGCCAAAAAAAAATTCATATTGCCAAAAAATACACTAAAGGAGTAAATCACCAAACGATTTGAAAATCAACAAGGAAATTACAATAAGATAAACAACAAGTACACAA